TACCACTTGAGCCTCAGTGCCACTTCTGGTTTTCTGAGTGGTTTATTGGAGATAAGAGTTTCATGGACTTTCCTGCCCAGGCTATCTTGGAACCATGATCATCAGATCTCAGCCTCCTGAGTAGCTAGGATGACAGGCGTGAGCTACCAGTGCCCGGCTCTTTCATTCTTTTTAAAGGCATTTTAGAATGATGTTCTGGAGCTTATCTATATTTTAGCAGGTACAAGTGTTTTCACTCTTTGTCTCTTTGTCACTATCTGTCTCTTTTTGGTGCTGGTCTTGGGGCTTGAACTCCACTCTGGGTGCTGTCCCGGTGTTTTTTTGTTCAAGCTTCAGCCACAGTTCCATTTCTGGCCTTTTGGTAGTTAACTGGAGATAAGAGTCTCATGGACTTTCCTGCCTAGTCTGGCTTTGAACCATGATCCTCAGTTATTAGCCTCCTGAGTAGCTAGGTGTGAGCTACTGGTGCCCAGCTCTGAACTTTATTTTAAATAAAGCACATATGTCATGTCCTTACCCTGTTTCAATTTCTGCTTCAGTAGTCTCAGAAAATCTTTCCATCTTTTTTGGTCCCACTTGTGAATTTCAGTGTCCCCCTTACAATGGTTGCTAAGAATTGAAGGAATGTAACTGCAAGTAACAAAAGACAAGCCTTGTTGGTAGTAAAGGTAGACAGGAAGCAGGTTCAATTTTAGCTGGAAGTATCTAGAATCTGTGTAAAAATCTCATCTGTCTTTACATCCCCTCAGATATCAGCACATGTAATTAACAACTTTTGTTTTGCATTATTGTTTTCCAGCTTCATTTAACTAAAACATGATGGAGGAATTTTTTCTAGTACCTTCCATTACATAAGTAGTGCCTAGAAACTTCTCATCAAGCCTTTGCCTTTAACTATCACATCCATCCTAGATGTATTTCTGTAAAATAAAAGATGAAATAAGAATAAAATAAAATAAAAAACCCACCTAGACATACAAGCCAGACATAGTGATTCAAGTGTATAGTCCCAGCTACGCTGGAGGTAGAGATGAGGATCATAGTTCAAGGCCATCCTGGGAGAGAAGTTAGTGAGATCCATCTCAATCAATAAGCCAGGGGTGTTCATATGCACCTGTCACCCCAGCTACATGAGCGGCAGGAGGATGCCAGTCTGAGACCAATCCACTAGTAAAACTTAAGACCCTACTTGAGTAAAAAAAGAGAAGGAAGCCGGGCGCCGGTGGCTCACGCCTGTAATCCTAGCTACTCAGGAGGCTGAGATCTGAGGATCGCGGTTCAAAGCCAGCCCGGGGCAGGAGAGACCGTGAGACTCCTATCTCCAATAAACCACTAGAAAACCGGAAGTGGCGCTGTAGCTCAAGTGGTAGAGCGCTCGCCTTGAGCTGAAGAGCTGAGGGACAGTGCTCAGGCCCAGAGTTCAAGCCCCACAACCAAAAAAAAAAAAAAAAAAAGAGGAGTATGGCTCAGGAGGTAGAGTGCTTACCTTGCTGAGTTCAAAGGCCCTGAGTGCAAACTTCAATACTGTCAAACCCCAAAACAAAGCAAAACAACAATAACAAATATATATATTAAACCCCCAATTTTTCAATTGTGAAATTTAGGAGTCTTTAAATTGCTCTTTTAAAAATTATAACTTTATTGTTGTTATTAGGGGTTATAGAGAGGGGTTACCATTTCATAAGTCAGATAAGGAGTACAATTCTTTTTGGACAGTCACTCTTTCCTTCACTTTCCTCCAGTTAAAATTACTCATTGAATTGCCATAAAGTCTTCCTAGAAATTTCTGTAGTTAGTAACTAGGCTGTGGATAGCAGCCATGTGCAGACTATGGGGACTTGTGCTGGGCTATATTTTGGCATAAGAACGAAGCCACTCAGGGCTTACATTAGATCTTGGGAAAATGACCTCTAAGTTTTCAAGAAGTGATTTACACTGAATTTGGAGGGCAGGGAGGAGGATGCCACTGGAAAGTTTAGGATGTTCTGTATTTGGTAGCTTGAGGCAATCACGTTCTACCCAGCTGTTTACAATTATATAAACACAGCTCAAGACTCTCAAAACCAGGGAGATCTGATTATTGGAAGTACACAGTAATATTCCAGCCAAGAGTTTTAATTTCTCAGCATGCTCTTTAAGACTTGAGAATTATTGCTTGCCCGATCTCTTATCACTTTGAAAGGCAGTGATTGGAGGGAGGGGCAACCTGCCAAAACTCAATCCCAAAACAAAACCAAACAAATTCTAGCTCCTTTTAAACTCTAACCTTCAGTTTCAAATACAGTATGGTTCATAAAACTAACTATCTAATCTCAAGCAGAGTCCATGGGATTTCTATTGACAGTGACTGCAAGTCAATGAACGTATTGCTGAATTTACTTGTTGCTTACATACGCTCACCTTGCTTTTTTATTTTATATTTTTTTGTATGCAGTCCTGGGTCTTGAACTCAGGGTCTGGGTGCTGTCCTTGAGATTTTGTGCTCAAGGCTAGCATTCTACCACTTGATCCACAGCTCCACTTCCAGCTTTTTGGTGGTTAATTGAAGGTAAGAGGCTCATGGACTTTAACTGCCTGGGCTGACTTTGAACCATGATCTTCAGACCTCAGCCTCCTGAGTAGATTACAGGAATGAGCCACTGGCATCCACCTTTCTTCTTTTATTTTTGCTGGTACTGGGCTTGAACTCATGTTCTGAATGTGCTTCCTTGACTTGCTTGTTCTACCCCTTGAGCTATACCTCTAGCCTGGCTTTATGCTAATTAATTAGAAATAAGAGTCTCAGGGAATTTTCTGGTCAGGTTGGTTCTCAGCCATAATCCTTCAGGTCTCAGGCTCTTACATAGCCAGGATTGCAGGCATGAGCCCCAGTGCCCAGGTCATCTTACTTTTTTAAGCTACTTAACTCTTTCAGTGGCTGCCTTTCCTTTACTATAAAACAAGAATGTGAGGAAGAGATTGAAGAGGTACAAGGTAAGTATTCAGGCCTTTGATAAATTTAGTATGTGTGTGCGTGTGTGTGTGTGTGTGTGTGTGTGTGTGTGTGTATTTTCAACCAAAGCCTGTAGACACACAGTAATAATGGTCTATTTTTTTCCTAACTTGTGTTTATGCTTCTTAATATATCATTTACTGATTTATAACTAAAATGTGGCCTTGATGATTTATTTTTAACTGCTAGGTTAGTCTGGATTTGACTTTTTATTTAAATTACCAGCCACAATAAATTCAAGCATCCCTGATTCAAATAAACATCAATAATTTGACTCATTTAATATTCATTCAGCAAACGTTTATTAGCCATTTGCCATAGGCACAAACTAAACAATGAAAGAGCATGAGAAAAACAATATAAGTTTCTGGAGCCTTGCAATAAATCCAACACTAACTGGTTGGCATAAAGCTATAGGTCACATCTCCTTCCCATACAGTAATCTATTTCAACTAAAAGCAGTTAAAAATCAAATATTGGCGTTTCAAGTACCTTCCTATTTTAAATATTTCTATTATTATTTATGTATTTATTTTTGTTGGTCATGTGGCTTGAACTCAGGGCCTGGGCGCTGTCTCTGAGCTCTTTTTGCTCAAGGCTAGCATTCTACCACTTTGAGGTACAGCTCCACTTCCAGTTTTCTGGTGGTTAGTTGGAGATAAGAGTCTCATGGGCTTTCCTGCCCCAGGGTTGGCTTTGAACCACGATTCTTGCATCTCAGCCTCCTGGGTAGCTAGGATTATAGGTGTGATCCACCAGCACCCAACATAAATATTTCCTTTAAAAAGGGTTTTCTGGAAGGGAAAATGCTTATACAGCAAACACATGTGAGTGACACATTGTTAGTTCACTGAATATATCATCAGAATATTTGATATTTGATATATTAAGGGGATTTGAAATATATATATATATGTATATGCATACATATTGTCAGGTTTTAAAATGAACTGTATTAAACCATAATACAAACAAAACTGGAGAGCTCGCCATGGTAACACATGCCTGGAATCCCAGTAGCTGGAAGTCTGAGATGAGAGAACTGTGAGTTTGAGGCCTGCCTGGAATAAAGCAAGACTCTGTCTCCAAAGAGGAAAAAAATAAGTAAATAAACAAATCTGGAAGGGAAGGAGGGAAAGTATATTTTGTTCTTGCTGTATGCACAGTAACAATCTGCAAACACATTTCCCTAAAATCAGAATGATGCATGGGCCACAGCACACAGGTGATGGACAGATACTGTCTGTTTTCATATGTGGTGAATACAAGGTTAGAGGAATTCTTGGGTGAAGTGTGTGTGTGTGTGTGTGTGTGTGTGTGTGTGTGTGTGTGTGTGGTGCATGCACCTGCGCGCCTGTGTACCTGCATGTATTTTCATTGGGAGCATAATAAGACAATTCAAATGAAATCAGAAGGGAAAGAGGTCATTACTTTTGGACACAGTATTAATTCTAAAGTATCCCTAGGGGCAAGCAATTAAATTATCCTGAAATCTAGATAGAAACAACAACAAATGCTCCAATTACTGAGATTGTTTTAGAAAGAAGGAAAAATTGGGGGGAGGTCAGTAAAGGAACCCAGAGGAGAGATGCATTTATTTTGCAGTTGTGTAGCATGACCAATTTAAACATGGGAATAACCTGGCTGGGGTGGAGAAGGGGGGGGATAGAAGAATGAAAAGAGAAAGAAGGGAGAAAATACAGTCATAATACTCAACGCATAGCCTATAAAACCAGAGAAATTGAAGGGAGGGTTTGGGTTGGGAGCGTTAGGGGGGATGGTGAAAGGGATAATGTCGATCAAGATGCATTATACTCATACACTGACATGTTGAGCGGTAACTCCTTTGTATAACTACTTAAAGATATCTACAACCAATAACCCAAGGAAGGGGTATTTTCCAAGAAAAGTTGCTCATTAGCCGTAGGAACTTCTGACCTAGAGACGGAACCTACAGTTGATGTAGATTAACATCGTTTGCCCAACACTCAATGTACTCTTTTCTCAGTTTCAGATGACAAGTACCAAGAGTGACTTGCTTTCACTCAGCCACCCACATACTCAGAATGTATCCCTGCGTATGCTGTGTCCATTGTGCTTGTGTCAGTGAAAAACAGGGTGGAAAGGGAGAGCTAAGACTGCCGCTCTTGGTAGCCACTATCACCATGTCCAGATGGGATGGTACAGAAGCTAAGACGCTTAGCTGCAGCTGCGAAACAAGTTCATGGGCAACTTGGAAGCAGAGCCTGGATTTCTTCCTCCCAGTGTGATATTCCATCCACTGTGGGGTGAACTCTGGCGAGAAGGGGCATCTCTTTCAGCTTCAGCAGCTCTGGTGAGGGGTTCAGCTGTATCTGACTTACTCAACCAAAGAATTCAATTGCCCCTAAAGAATATTTTTTTTAACTAAAAACAGGCCAGCAAAGACTAATTTCATTGTGGAAGCCTTTTGTCTCCCTGCTTCATCTGGGAGTATACGCATAAAGACTTATGAAAGAGACAGGATTCATTACAACCCCTGCACATTATTGGTTTTCTTTTTTAAATTTCAAATTTGAAAAGCTTAGATATTGTGTAAAACAGAATTAAAAAATGTAATTGTTATTTTGAAGTTCATCTGAAATTTCTTTTTGTTCTTTCTCAAAGGCAGCACATTTCAAATTTGTTGGCTATAGTTTAACTATGAATCTATAATAGAAACTTATTTTTTTGCTCACACAGAAGATCTGACAAATGAATGCACTGGATACATAAATGGTCTTAGGCAGAAAAAGGTATTTAAAATGTCTGTGGTATTGAATAATATAATAACAAAGCTTGGAAGTATGTAAGGAGAATTTTGCTACATGGGAAGAGAAAGAAAGCAAGTCTCATCTTAACCTTGGAGACTGACGGAAGCTAATTCATTATTTCGTGAGGACACCTGGAAATGGCTTCCATTTTCAGTAAACAGCAATTCTGGTGATTAGTGACACTGGTAGCCCTTCCAAGGGCTTCTGATTCCAAATCTAGTTTCTAATTAGCTGTCCCCTAACTCTAAAACTGATTCTATTATAATGCTCAGCATGAGAGATAGAGAATTCATATGCTTTAAAAGCAAACTTCTTTATTTTATTTTTGTGCCTGTCCTAGGGCTTGAACTTAGGGCCTAGGCACTGTCCATGAGCTTTTTACACAAGACTAGTACTCTACAGCTGAAGCCATAGTTCTATTTCTGGCTTTTTTTGGTGCTTAATTGGAGGTGAGTCTCAAGTGCTTTCCCTGCTTTGAACTTTACTCCTCAGATCTTGGGCTCCTGAGTAGCTAGGATTACAGGCATGAGATCTTGGGCTCCTGAGTAGCTAGGATTACAGGCATGAGCCACCAATGTCTGGCTTTAAAAGCACACTAAAGATAAAGTATAGTCACAGAGATTGTCCAACTAAGGCTGACTTACTTTTGTAATGAAATCATTCATATGTATTTTCTAAAATCCAAAGAATTGGAAAAAGGTGGACACAATTTGTAAATTACAGTAAATGAATAAATTAAAAATATCATTTACTCCACAGATAAAGTTATTATTTTTTCAAAGTAAGGACCACAAAAAGGAAGAAGAGGTAACCTGGTAAGACCTAAGAAAGATGGAGCTTGAAGGCCTGGGATCATTTGAAATAAAGAAGTCAGAGTTTCTTCTATACAGTGAAATAGGAAATTATTTATCTTTTGTGTCTTGGTGTTTTCTTCTGCTTGTTTCTCATAGGACATAAATGTCAACATTCATTAATGGTAAAAAAAATAATGGCATGATAACTATTGTGATGTTATACAAGAGATTGTTTGTTCACTAATCATGTCTACCTTGGCATGACTCATTTTAAGCTGGGTATGAGAGTATATGTCTGCAATCTCAACACTGGGGATGCTGAGGCAGAAAGATCACAAGTTTGATCCTGGTCTGGTAGTGTCTTAGAACAATTTTATAATGGCAGACCAATGCCACTCTATTGTAAGCTGTTCATCGGGAAACCACATAGCTCCCTCCTATGTTAAGGCTGAGACAAGCTGTGAGTCTCACAACTGATAAGAAGTAGAGGCCCTTAGAAATGATGTCATCCTGCTTCAGGAGGGAGCAGGTTAAGAACTGGTCTGGACCATGCTGTTTAGTAGGGCCAGCTCTAAAATCTAGTTATGGACTAGTTAGTTCTGGTCAGGGGAAGAGCTACTTCTTAATTCATTAATTTTTTAACTTCCTCACCTAACCAGCACAGCACAAAACTAACCAAACATTTTGTAGATGATTTAAGTACGTGACACAGGTTATATAAGCGAGTATTAGTGGCTCAAGCCTATCAGCTTTGCTACTTGGAGGCTGAAATCCAGAGGATTGTTGTTGGAGGCCAGACTAGTCATCTATGCAAGGCCCATGTGCTCAGTAGCACATGCCTATCACCCCAGCTATGTGGAGGCTGAGGTTGGGAGGATTATGGTTCCAGGCCAGCTGGGGCAAAAAAAAATTAATTGTATTTTGATGGGAAGAAGCTAGGTGTGATGGTTTCTGTCTGTGATTTCAGCTACAATGGAAGCCTAAAATATGTAACTCTCAGTCCAAGCCTGTACCTGGGTCCTATCTCAAAACTGACCAGAGCAGAGAAGGGATGGGGGCATAGGTCAGCATTACAGTTCCTGCCCAGCAAGAACTCTGAATTAAGACTCCATCACTGCAGATAAGTAACTAAATAAATACTAAGATTATTTAATACGGGGATGTGAGCCATCAAGGGCAAGACTCTAATAATTGTCTACAAACATTTGTCCTTTATTAAGTTAGGGACAACAAAGACAATATTATCGTGTATGATTCAATCATGTGCTAAATGTGTATGACTTTGTTAAATTTTATTTCCCTTTTGTTTCAATTGTGGCTCTCATTTTTTTGGGAGGGGGGTCCAGTCATGGGGCTTGAACTCTGGGTCCCTTAGCTCTTCAGCTCAAGGCTAGAACTCTACCACTTGAGCCACAGCACCACTTCCAGCTTTTTTTCTATTTGCTTATGTGGTGCTGGGGAATCGAACCCAGGGCCTCATGCATACAAGGCAAGCACTCTATCACTGAGCCACCTTCCCAGCCCCTGTGGTTCTCATTTTTATTAAAGAATTGATTTAAAAAAGGTTTTGCCAGGCACTGGTGGCTCATGACTGTAATCCTAACTCCTCGGGGGATTGAGATCCGAGGATCTCAGTGTGAAGCCAGCCCAGGCAGGAATGGGTGAGACTCTTATCTCCAATTAACCACCAAAAAGCAGGAAGTGGAGTTGTGGCTCAAGTGGTAGAGAGGCAAAAAAAGTTCAGTGACAGTGAGTAGGCCTTGAACTCAAACCCCAGTAATGGCATGGGGAAAAAAGGTTTTTTTCAGCCATCCATTTAGATCAAGAACAGGAAGTAAATACTCAAGCCTCTTATAAATACTTCAGATGTAAATTCTACCGGTGATTTCCATTAATTCGCTTAGCCATAGGCCTGAGACTAGCTCCATATAACGAGGCTCACAATAGAACAGCTTGGCTAACAAAAATAACCATAAAAATCATATTAGGCCATTTATAGACCATGTCCAGCCAAGGACTTAGAATTAGGCGGGCCCCATTTCTAGAGGATCTTTTCCATGAACACTGAGGACCATATCGACTCTAATCAACCATTATAAAATTATGCATTGTTTATTCTTCTTTCAGAGCAGCAAAAGCTGCTGTATGGATGTTATTGGGTGGAAGAGTAATTTAGATAAGCCCTCGGGTTTACGTAGCATACAAGAAGGTTTTATGGGATCTAATCTTTGCTAAACCTGTCATGTTCTTCGGTTCAGCAGAGCTTCCTAATTGTAGCTATTAGTTCCTCCGTTTTTGCGGTCTGCTCTGTCAATAGACTATTGAGTGTTCGGTAAATTAAGGCCAACCAGCAGCCAACACATGGAGACAGCCGTTCAATCATAGCTTGGCTGCCCTTATTCACGATCAGAATCTGTGGCATTGCTCTTAAGCCCAGGGACAGGATTTAACAGGATGCACACTTGTGTCATTCTCAAATTTCCATACTGTACAATCAGGTATGTGGGATTTTTTTTTTGTCCTAGGCAACAGGTGTGTTCTTGGAACAAAGTTCAACCCCCACGTCTGGCTTATGTGAGGCAGCAGCTGCAAGCTTAATTCCGGTGACACATGGTCTGTAAGGGAGGAAAAATAAACTACTTGTTCAAAGTACTAACTGGGCAGATGGGCCATAGCTGCCTGTGCCCCTCCGAGCCAGGCCCTAAATTTTCATGACAAGTGTTTCTCTTCTCCATTTCTGCCTTTCTCTCTTTCTCTGCCTCCCTTCCTCCCTCCATCCCCCCTCTTCCTTTCCTCTCTTTCTCTCTCCTTCTCTTCCTGCCTCCCTTCCTCACTCCCTTCTCTCCCTTCCCTTTCCCCCCTTGCATTTAAACATCAAATTCCTTAGACCCAAAGTATTCATTATCGAGAACGATCCTTGTTCAGAGTCATGTGGTCTGACGAATAGGAAGGGAAAACTTAAGTCACACTTTACAACTCCTCTAGTTCTAAAAAGAACTTAAAGAAGACTGTTCTATAAATCCTCCATTAAAAACCATCAAAGTGCTTATTTATAAGCCTCTGTTTGCTCATTCCATGCTGCTCTCTAGAATTTTGTGAGGTATTATTACTGCGCATTCTGATGTACTATGTACCCCAGCACACACCACGGTGACCTAAAGGTAATTACTGGGAAAGTTCAAGAGAGAAATCTTGCAAAGCATCTTTTTAAAAAAAAAATCTTGGGAATAATTAATATCCTTTTGTGTATGCTAGTGTTTCAGTACATTTACCTAAGAAATCCAAACATTATCTTAGTGTGTAAGAAGAAAGCATCTGCTTCTTTTTTTTAAATTTTGTTTTGTTTTTGCGATAGGGTCTTTCTAGGAAGTCCAGAGACAGGGCCTCTCTAACCAGGTGACCCTGAACTCATCGTCTCTCTGAGTGCTGAGACTACAGACATGCACACCACTCTAAATGCCATAGGCAGTTTCTTGTAAGCAAAAACACAGAGGAAAAGAACAGATCAGCCCAATGACAGAGCCCCGGGGTACATTTGAAGTGGACATGTCTTCGTACTTAGACTTTCCTGTCTTTAAATACAATAAACCTTCTCTTTCACTGATGGGCATTTAAAAAGAAATACTGAATACAAATGGAGCTGATAAGAAGGACTTTTATTTTTCTGAGTGGTGGCAAACAAATAGATTGAGGTGTGACAAGAAGATCATCTATTTAATTTCAGCCTTGGAGCCTTTGGTGTTACTGCAGATGGCCTCTAACTGGGGGAGGAGGAACTATAAAGTCCCTTTGCATTTTGCTTTCTTATACCCCAAACCACAATGTATTCAAGAATCAACTTTTCTGTGACTATGTACTTACAATGGCTTTGCCAGGCCTGTCCCAGTGAAGGGAAATCTCTAGGCAGATGGGTTTAGAATTCAATCCTCAGAGGCAAACAAAAGCCAGTGAACAAAGAACCTGGGGACAAATTTCTTCTGAGGATTTTTAATGGACTGACTTTTTGGATTTTTCATGAAATGCACTTAGATAATGACTCACTTTAGAGATGATGTTAACATTAAACACGCACACACAAAGTTTCTCTAGCTAGAAGGCTGGTCCAGACATCTTTAGAAGTCTCTTCCAGTCCAGGGATTTTCAAATTCTGTATTTTAGCCTTTTCCTTCAGGTTGTGCTTTTAAAGAAAAACTATGGTAAAATACATGAACAAAATTTATCTTCATATCCATTTTTAAGTGTACAGTTGAGTAGTATTCACATGGTTGTATAAACACTCTCCAGAAAGCCTAAACTCTTAGCATATAACAGTACTGCCTTCCTTGTTAAGGTTGTATAATATTCCACTGTATACAAATGCTGCATTTTCTTTATTCATCAGCCAATGAACACTTACTTAAGGAACTTCCTTCCCTTTGACTATGATAAAACAAAATGTTGCTATGGACATGGTATAAAAATATCTCTGAATCTCTGCTTTCAATGTTTTTGGACCTCTCTCTCTCTCTCTCTGTTTCTCTTTCTCTCTCTCTCCATTGCTGGATCTTATGACCCTTCTCTTTTGTTTTTGTTCTTTGTGACAGTCCTGGGATTTGAACTTAGGACCTGGGTGTTTGTCCCAGAGCTTTAAGTATGCTCAAGGCTAGCACTCTACCACTTGACCCACAGCTCTACTTTTGCTTAATTTTTAGTGGTTAATTAGAGATAAGAGTCTCATAGATTTTCTTGCCCAGGCTGGCTTTGAACCGGGATCCTTAAATATCAGCCTTCTGAATTGCTAAGATTACAGGCATAAGCCACCGGCACCCAGCTCGACCCTTCTCTTGAGTTTTTGAAGGGCTGCCATACATTTTCTGCACATCTGATGATTACATTTTATATCCCCACCCGCAACGCACCTAGGTTGCAATTTTCCCACACCCTTACCAACACTTGCAACTTTCTGGAGTTTTCTGCTTGCAGAAATATCCTACGAGGCATGAGGTGATAAGCTTAGACTGCACTTCAGACAAGGAGGTAGCTGGGGATGGAGTCTGCTCTGCCCAGTCACCTTCCATCCTCTGCCCCCTGCCCTCTATGGCTTCTTGGCCACACTGTGAACAAGAGCCAAGTCCCTCACTGTGACTGACAAGGCCCTGTTGGAAGCTGGCTTCTTGTATCCTTCTTAACTCCCCTGGCTTCTGCTACACTGAGAGCATTCCAGAATGTTCCATCCTCTGGGTCTTGGCCCTGGCTGTCTCCTCTACCTGGTCCCCACAGTACCGCACACTCACGCTTTCTTTCCTCTCAGATCTCTGTTCAAATTCCTCCTCTCAGAACCCCTTTCTTAGGATGATACTCCTGCTCCTGCCCTTTCCATACCATCACCCTGTTTTCTTACTTTTTTGGGTCATATCTGTATACCCAAATCAGTCTAGCAGTAATTGAATGTTCTAGGATGGAAGGACACATCTCTCTTATAAGTCCCTGTAAGAAATAGCTCAGGATGTTAGGAGTATTGCTTAGGAATAAGGACCCCAGCTTGAAAGGAACTTGGAAAGGCCAAGTTTACTTTTGCAGAAGCGTGAGCCATCAGCCAAAAACCTGGCAAGCAAGCACACAGAGCAGCCAGGGTGCTCCCTTTATATCCCATTCTCAGCAGGCCCAGCCCCTCTGCTCTGATTGGTGGAGCTCAGTCTCACAGTCTGGAAAAGGATGTGGCTAAAATTAACAGGATGAAACTAAAATGCAAGGAGCTCATAACAGGATATCTTTGTGCTCAGGGAAAAGGATGAATGTAACTAAAATGTAATGAACAAGGACCAAGATACCTGACCAAAGCAGGAACCCTTCAGGAAAACCATTCTCTCAAGATTAACAGAAAGGAAGCAAACTACTTGGATAGGAAAGATGTTTTACTCACACCCCCAACTTCCCAGTTTCGAGAACAGTGTATATCAAGCCTCCATCCAGATGGTTAAATGAATAAATGCACAAACGAACGTTTCAGCTACCACATCCACCTGTCTAGCCAAGGCAAAAATAAATAAAGGAAGATCTCATGGTGCCTTTAGAATTGCCTGTGTCTGTGCTAGCCAGTCTGAGCTCTCCAGAGAGAGCGGGGAGGGGAGTGTACTCACATGAGTTTCCACGTCACCAGCAAGGATTCTACTGTTCTTTAAAAACTCGGCCACCATCCCATTCATCAGCTTATCAAAGGCTTCCACGGAGGGTGCCATGTCTGTGGAAGAGGAACCTCTTGTTAATTCCTGAGCGTGTGATGAAAGGCAGGGGCTATCTAGACACAGGGGAGGTGGAAGGCTAATAGCATCCAAGTCATCCCCACCCATTCATTCACATCCTCAACTTCTCTAGGTTTTTACCACTTCTCCGTGGCTCAGGGGAACGTGGGTTTGTTGATGTGCAGTCCTCTTATGCTGGGACTTGTGCATCATTTCATCCACTCTCTCCCAAGCCCAGAATCCTATCCTCACAATGACACGGGGAGGAAATTGGGTTGGTCCAAAGTTAAACCCTAACGAAAGGCAGATCCAAAAACCACTCTTTGTTTTCTTCCACTGTGAACTCTCCAGGTGCTGTCCAGTGTCACAAATAGTCACCAAGAGGGTGCCTAGAAATGCAAAGGCGATCAGGAACTCTGGGCAAGGAGGCAAAGAAGGAGACCTTTACTCATTTCTTCCTTCCTTCCTTCTGGGAAGGAAGGGCAGTGATAGCCAGCCTAAAAAATAACTGCTGAGCCCACACAGATAGGGTTTGAGTGGCCAATTCACTGTAAAATCGGAAGTGACAGCAGTCCAGTCGGTGTGATCTGTTTCCTTATCTGCTTTTTTGGAGGGGAGGAGGTAATACTGGGGGTTAAAACTTGGTTTTCTTGCTTGGCTGACATTCTACAACTTGTGTTATGCCTCCAGTTCAGCTTTTTGCTGGTCAACTTATGGACTTTTCTTCCTGGACTGCCTTAGAACCTTTATCCTTCCAGATTTTAGTCTCCCGAGAAGCTAGAATTATAAGCATGAGCCACTGGCACTTGGGTTTTCTGCTCTTCAGTTAATGGGGTGGGGTGTGGACACCCCACAATGAAATCCCTGACTTCCATCTATTGAGAACATCATTACTAAAGCAACCCATGGCAGTGAATTTAGTGAGTTGCATTTTAATCCAACCCAAACCTAGCCTTACCTTTCTTCTATCATAAAAATACATTCTCCATGCTCACAAAACCAAAGGATAGTGCTTCATTTTCTCTTTTTTTTTTCCTAATTTCCCATTTCCACAGGCCCCAAGGTTGAAAAACAGAACAAAACAAAACAACAACAACAACAACAAAAACCAACCCACAGCAACTGACAGCACCTAAGGTCAAACTTCTAAGCAGACTGTTGAAGGTGAGTCATCTTTAAGTTCAAAGTATAGAATCTGACAACTTTTGCAAAACATGAAAGTACATAAAGATTCTTTCTGTGTGCATTAAATAAAACCCCCAAACCGACCTTGTTTATGGGTATATGAGATGCCCACGAGTGTCTAAAGGGGGTGAATGTTTTAGAAGGAAACAGAGACCTCTAGCAGATAAAAGTGAATACTTTCTGGGTTCCTTTCATCACTGATTTCAGTGCGGTCTCCTTTAGGCAGCCTCTAATGATCTGTTCTTCCTTCAGACTGCATCCTCTGAACACTTACTAATCAGAGGACACTGTCGCTCTGAATAGGAATGCATAGAGACCAAGGATTCGAAATGATTCAGATGGTGTGCAATTCATGGGAGATTTCCTGCACCTAGCACGGTGCTGGCCATGTGACAGGAATACAATACATTCTTCCCTTGATTGCTGGAGAAGTGGCGGGGGGGGGGGAGGACAGTGCCATATCCTAAAATTCATTGTAACACCAATCTAATAATAGGGTAGTCCATGATCCGATTATGTATTCGTAATGGATTGTGTTCTTGCTAATGTTTCTCTTACAGCAAAATTTATTTAATATAGTAAATAATATAATAATATATTGATATGGTATATAATATAGTAATACACAATAGTGGTTTATATTTAAGATTAAAGGTTGTTTTTGTCCTTTTTTGCTAGTAAATACAAAGAAACTACTAATGATTAAAGAAATATGTAAGTACAAAACTAAGCCTCAAAATAATCAAGTGTTGGGATTATAGGTGTGTGCTACCCAATGGTGTACTTAAGGATTCTACTTAAAGATTCATTGAAAATGGAATTTTTAAAAACTACCAAAACTTACTAACCAAACAGAAATTTAAAAATGGTGTTGAAGATTAAATTAAAAAATCTTAAGGGTGGAGATATCATTCCTACATTTTACTAATTATTCAATCTCCTAATTATTTCATTTCACATAGGCTAATAATGCTAGGTAAGTTGTTTTAGAAGACCTCTGCTTTAATAATTGGTTTGGAGTAATTTTCTCTATTAGCAAATATTTGTTTAAACACTAAATAATTTAATTATATGCTCTTTAGTCTTACTTAGCCAATAGATTCTTTTGGATTTTTATTTTGTAATAAGGAAAATGCAAAGTTCAGGTTACTACTTATTTGAATATATGAGGTTCAAATTACTGATATTTTTCATTTTTTATTCAAAAATATTATACAGTCTCCCAGGAAGCTGATTTTTACTTTGGTTAGAATATTTCCAAGGTCTTCTGTTTACATTTTTTTTGGTCCTGTGGTTCCCTCCTTTTCTTTCTTTTTTTTTTTTTAAAAAATTCTTTATTGTGATTAAGTGGTTACATAATTTCCCAAATTTCACAGCATTAAAGAATAATGATGCTTAATTAAAGTCACAAACACATTCTAACTTTCATGGGGCAAATTGTCTATCGTGGTCTATAACATTCATGAGTTCTATGAGCTTTGCAATACAGTTATTTCTTCCACATTGGGTAATATGTATATTTCTTTTGTTTTGCATAGCATCAGCTGTTCCCACTTTCCCACTCATTCCCTCCCTCCCATTGCTGCCATTGAGTTGTTTAGTTCATTTGGATCAAAGTCCAGTGCAGCTGATGGGTCCTGCTGCTGTATGTTTTTCCCTGATTCCCTCTAGTTCTGTGTCGTCCTCCTGGTTTCCCTCCGGTGTGCACATATAAACCATATATGTGATCAGAAGCATGGGGTTATTTAGTAGTGATTCGACCAGATGAGTGGAAGTCCATTGTTTCTTAAGTCTTGTTAGTTTTGTCGTATCACCTTACATTTAACATGCACCTATCAGGGAGACCATGTGCCATTTGTCTCTTTGCTCTTGGCTTACCTCCCTCAACATGATTTCTTCTAGCTTCATCCATTTCCCTGTAGATGCCATTATTTTGTCCTTTCTAATGGCTGCATAATATTCCATTGTGTATAGATACCACAATTTTTGGATCCATTCATCTGTGGTGGGACATCTGGGTTGTTTCCATATCCTGGCTATTGTGAACAGTGCTGCAATAAACACGGAGGTGCATGTGTCCTTGTATACTGGTTCCCGTTGTTCAGGATAGATGCCTAGAAGTGGTATGACTGGGTCATAAGGGAGGTCAATATTTAGCTTTCTGAGGACCCTCCAGACTGCTTTTAAAATGGTTGTATAAGTGTACATTCCCACCAGCAGTATAATAGGGTTCCTCTTTTTCCGCATCCCCTCCAACATTTGTCATTGGCTGACCTTAGGATGTGGGACATTCTGACTGGGGTAAGGTGGTATCTCAGGGTTGTCTTTATTTGCATTTCCTTCACAACCAGGGATGGTGAACATTTCCTCATGTGTTTCTTTGCCATTTTTCTCTCTTCTTCTGAGAAGTCTCTCTTTAGTTCCCTTGCCAATTTAGTAATTGGTTTGTTAGGTTTGGGAGGGTTTAGTTTCTTGAGTTCCCTGTTTATACTGAATATTAACTCCTTGTCTGATATATTGCTGATAAATAATTTTTCCCAGTTAGTTGGTTGTCTTTCTAGCTTGGCTGCTATAGCTTTAGCTGTGCAGAAAAATTTTATTTTAAGGTAGTCCCATTTGTCGAGTCTCTCTCCAATTTGTTGTGACCCTGGAACTCTGTTCAGGAAGTTCCTGCCTGTGCCTATTAGTTCAAGTGTCTCTCCTACTCTGTCCTGCAGTAGTTTCAGAGATGCAGGTTTAATGTTAAGGTCTTTAATCCATTTTGAGTTGATGCTGGTGCATGGTGATAGGCTGGGGTCCACTTTTAGTTTTCTGCATGCGGCTTCCCAGTTTTCCCAGCACCAGTAGTTGAAAAGGCTGTGTTTCTTCCACTGTATTTCTTTGGCTCCTTTGTCAAATATCAGCTGACTGTAGGCATGTTGTTTTATTCTGGATCTTCTATTCTATTCCATTGGTTTTCAGATCTGTTTTTGTGCCAGTACCAAGCTGTCTTTGTTATTATGGCTCTATAGTAGAGTTTGAAGTCCAGCATCGAGATCCCTCCCATGTTGTCTTTTTTGCCTAGAATTGTTTTGGCTATTCTAGGTCTTTTGTTGTTCCATATGAATTTTTGGACTGTTTTCTGTATTTCAGAAATGTACATCATTGGGATTTTAATAGGAATTGCATTGAATTTGTATATTAATTTTGGCAGGATTGCCATTTTCACTGTATTGTCTGCCTATCCCCTTTGAGAAGTATCTGTAATACCTAATACCAGTGGTACCATAACAGAGTTGCTAAAGAGAATAAAGCTTAGAAGTGTCATATACCAAAAAAAAACTAACAAAAAAGGCAGTGATATCACAGATATATCTCAGTTGACGTGGAAAAACTCACAGGACCCTAGCAGCCTGGGCTCCCTTTTAATCCATTCAAAGCATTTTCCTCTGGGTGCTGGTGGCTCATGCTTGTAATCCTAGCTACTCAAGAGGCTGAGATCTGAGGATTGTAGCCCAAAGCCAGCCTGGGCAGACAAGTCTATGAGACTCGTCGTTAATAAACCAACAAAAAGCCAGAAGTGGAGGTGTAGCTCAAGTGGTAGAGCTTCAGCCTTGAGTGGAAAAGCCCCACAAGAGCTCAAGGGCTTGAGTTCAAGATTCAGTACTGATACACACACACACACACACACACACACACACACACACACACACATTTTCATGTTTATTATGGCCAATGGAAATGACCCAATTAGCAAGTTCATGCTCAGATGCAGTTATTTGTCCCATAGTAAGTAGCACAAGGGATAGATAATACCAAATCAAACAGAGCTTCTAGACCCACCAAGTGGCTTTTTCCTAGAGAATGAGACAGTGAAGCCCTCTCCTCCCCACGGCTTTCTCAGCTTTCTCAAAGCCCAATTGTATTTAAAGCAGGTAAGATAAGGAGAGACACTTGGGATAAGAACAAAACTGCCATATTAAATACACATTGACCTATAGAATTTGAATTTCAGCTAACCACAAATAAAGGTTTAGTATAATGTGTACCATGCAGTGTAAACCATGCAGTATTTAGGACACATTAAAAAAAAAAAGAAAAGAAAAAGATTTCTCTATTTCAAATTCAAAGTTAATGGGTGTCCTGTATTTCTATTTGTTAAATTGCAACTTTACAGAAGAAAGATATAGACCAATTTCTGTGGATAACTTAGAAAGTTTCTTTTTAAAGAAAGCAGGTGTTTGCTATTTATTTATTTGTAGTACCTAGGCTTGAACTCAGAGCCTTGTGCTCTTGCTTGGCTTGTTTCCTCAGCTAGAGCTCTACCACTTAAGTCATGCCTCCAGCCTTCCGTTTTAGCTGGCAATTTTGAAGATGGAGTCCCACGGGCTTTTCTGCTTAGACTAATAACCTCTAACTATGATCCTCTTATCTCAGCCTTCTGAGTAACTAACATTACAGGTATGAGCCACCAGTACCCAAATTGCTTTATATTTTTGATACTCCCTAATTCTAATTTTTTTAGCATATAAAATTAAAAGACAGTGTTAGAAACAGGAAATGTGATATAGCCCTCTATCAGTCATCTCTTGCTTCCTTCAAGAGGTTGCACCTCCTAAATAGAATAACTTGTTCTCCTTAAAATAAAACTCTACAGTATGATAATTCCTTTCAATTTACATTGTAATTCAGAACATTCATTTCCTTTCTTTTTAAAAAAATAATTACTTAGATAATATATTTAGCCAGTGAGTGCTAGAAGAACAGTATAAACACTGAAATGGAAAAAGAATCATATTTGGCCCAAGGACTTTTGCTCTTAAAATGCGCAGATATTAGTAATTTTTGTGTTGAAAGTTTTAACATTTATTTTTCTAATAGATGTACAAAAATTGTATGTATTTGAGGGGGGAAAACCTTCATATTTTTTCTTCCTCTTCTTCAGGGACTGCTTTGCTTATGGTTCCCTATCAAGGAAGGAGGTAGAGAAACTGAGGAAAGCAGGTAGACAGATTTCTGCAGGACTAAACTATGAGAACAAAATCGAGTGGCCCACATAAAGACTGGTAATGACGATGGTGTGCAGGCCTACCTCCATTGACACCATTAACTTCTCCACAGGCCCCAGGCGGCCTGAGAGGCTCTGCAGACAGCTGCTCCAGCCGGCTGACCGCACGTTCCAGCCTCTCCATCAGTCCCTGCATGTCTGCCATCCTAGAAAGACACAGAGACAAAAGGAGGCCAAGTGAGCACCAGCAAGGGTCAGCAAACCAACACCACCACACCCAGCAGCAAGAAGGGAAACAAAAGCTACTTAGAATGACCTGGTACCAATGGCTCACGCCTGTCATTGTAGCTACTAGGGAGGCCGAGAAGGGGAGATTTGGGGTTCAAGGCCAACCTAGGCAGAAAAGTTCAAGAGACCTGTAACTGGATACTAGCAGATGCCTGTCATCCTAAATTACGGGAGGCTGAATTGGGAGGATCACAGTTCCAGACCAGTACAGAATAAAACATCTTTGAGACTCTATCTCAATGGCGTCACCCATGTCCATCTACCCAGAAGCCTAAAATAGGCAGATTATAGTCCAGGTGTGTACTTGAGCAAGAAGTTACATCCTATCTTGAAAACAGCCGAGCACTGGTGGTTCATGTCTATAATCTTAGCTACTCAGGAGGTTGAGATCTGAATATCAGGGTTTGAAGCCAGCTCAGGCAGGAAAGTCCATGAGACTTTTATCTCCAATTAACCACCAAAAAGCTAGATGTGGAGTTGTAGCTCAAGTGGTAGGTGGCTAGCCTTGAGCACGAAAGCTCAGAGACAACACATAGGTACCAAGTTCAAGCCCCAGGACAGGCACATACACACACACACACACACACACACACACACACACACACACCCCAAACAAAAATAAAAACAAAGAAGCACCAGAGCAGGAAAGAGCTGGAAACATGGCTAAGTGGTAGAGCACCTGTCTAGTGAGCATGAGGCCCTGGGTTCAAACCCCATAATTACCAAACAAACAAGCAAATT